CCGAGTCGACCATCAGCAACTACCGTGCCATCAACTCGAGGACACAAGAGGCTGAGCTCGTGCAGGAGATTGCGACGGCGGATGTGGTGACCTGCTCCGTCGGCCCGAACATCCTCAAGTTCATTGCCCCGGTCATTGCCAAGGGAATCGATCAGAGGCCTGGGGATCTCCCCCCCATGGCTGTCATTGCCTGCGAGAACGCCATTGGTGCCACCGACACACTTGCCGATTTCATCAAGGAGCCGCAGAACACCCCATCTGAGCGTGTTGAGTCGATGGGCGACCGGGCCCGCTTCGCCAACTCAGCCATTGACCGCATTGTTCCTGCTCAGGACCCCGACGCCGGACTCAATGTCAAGCTCGAGAAGTTCTACGAGTGGGTCGTTGACCGCACCCCCTTCAAGGGCTCCTCTCCGCCAGATATCAAGGGTGTGCAATGGGTGGACAACTTGCAGCCGTACATCGAGCGCAAGCTGTACACGGTCAACACGGGCCACGCGACTGCGGCCTATCACGGATACAACAGACGCAAGAGTACCGTGTACGACGCTCTGCAAGACCGATCCATCCAGGAAGAGGTCAGGAAAGCCTTGTCCAATACCGCAGAACTCATCACCCAGAAGCACGGCATCGACGAGGAGGACCAAAAGGAGTACGTCGAAAAGATTGTTAGGCGCATCAGCAACCCGCATTTGGAGGATTCCGTTGAGCGAGTCGGTCGCGCCCCTTTGCGGAAATTGAGCCGCAAAGACAGACTCATTGGGCCGGCTGCGGAGCTCGCCGAGCGCGGCGGCGACTGCAGTGGTATTTTGGATGCTGCGGAGATGGCGTTCCGCTTCCAGAACGTCGAGGGTGACGAGGAATCGTTTGAGCTGGGCAAGATCATGGCCGAGAAGAAGCCTGACGAGGTTGTCCAGGAGGTGTGTGGTCTTCAGCCCAACGAGAAGTTGTATCCCAAGTTGGTGGACATTGTCAAGCGTGTGCAGGCAGATTCGCAAGACGAATGATGTGTTTTCCGGGTTGGTTTGGCGTTCTCCTATGATCCGCTGTAACTGGAAAAGGGACAATTAGGAGGGAGACAGGCGTTCGGGCTACAGGTTGAACAGGGATCATGAATTATGTCTAAGCATAGAGCATCGGCCGCAGCGTTTTGGCGTTGTAGTAAATTAAGATTTGGTTTCCATTAATGAAATTTTAGAAAGAGGTAGACTAGACCATGGAATGAAAGAATAACCGACGGGTGATCGCGTTTCGTTGAAGGCATTGTACAAGTAAGGTACCATCAAGACTTGACTGATGTTCCGGCGAAGTTCGTTGCAGTGCGGCTGCCAGCCGAGGGGCACCTGCATGCTTGGCTGCGGGGAAGAGTGAGTGCCTCAGGCATGAGTGGCTTAGGTAATGCGATCCACATTAACAAGGAGAGACCACATTCGCGAAATTGGGAAAAGCATCGGATACGTGGCGGGCAGCTTCACGACCGACGACGCCGTTCTCGAGCTTGCGCATCCCACCATCCTGGATCCCTAGCTCTGGCGAACGGCTGCATGCGCCAGCAGCTACATCCAGTTCGAACTTACGCACGATTGACGACAAACACCCAATTCTTGGATCATTCGACTCCTCCCAAATAACCCCACCAGGCTTCGCTCGACAGTTCACAGCGCAAAGCTGATTCTCGCCCAAGATGCGGCTCGACGTCAAGGTTGGTGTTACAGTGTCTCTTGTGTCCCACTGCACAACAACGACGTGGCTTCAGATAGCTCCACCAAGCTCGAGGAGCCCTTCACCCTTTCCATCCTCGAAGCGTCTTCTACCTCGGTCCATGATCGCTAACCAATATGAAAATACAGCGCCAGCTCTTTGCTCGCTCAGAGGTTCGTTCGAAACCATCCCCTGTGCCTAGCAGGTTCCGATTCTCACACCGTTTAGCGAGTCAAGGGCATCGACTTCCACCCGACCGAGCCATGGATCTTGAGTACGTCCGTCAGCCATTCCCCGAACCAGATCTAACATTGCGAAGCGACTTTGTATAGTGGCCACGTTTATATCTGGTCTTACGAGACCCAACAAATCGTCAAGACCTTCGAGCTCACCGATGTCCCTGTTCGCGCCGGTCGGTTCATTGCGCGGAAAAACTGGATTGTTTGCGGTTCGGACGACTTGTATGTTGGGCGAAGAAAGCTGCGCGCCGGGTACTGACTGTGGCAGCCAAATCCGGGTTTATAACTACAACACGAGCGAGAAGATTGCATCTTTCGAGGCCCACCCCGACTACATTCGAGCGATCGCCGTCCACCCGACCCAGCCATTCGTTCTTACCGCTAGCGATGACATGACCATCAAGCTTTGGGACTGGGAGAAGCAATGGAAGAATGTCAGAGTATTCGAGGGCAACTCTCGTTGGTACCCCGGCCTTTACAAGTGAATACGGCTGACGCCAACAGATTATGTGATGTCCCTGGCGATTAACCCCAAGGACACCAACACGTTTGCCTCGGCTTGCCTGGACCGGACAGTCAAGATCTGGAGCTTGGGATCATCCACGCCGAACTTCCAGCTCGAAGCTCACGAGACCAAGGGTGTTAACCACGTCGACTACTATCCCCATAGCGACAAGCCCTACCTTCTGACCACCTCGGACGATGTAAGACCATGAGCTATGTTCGAAGTTCAACCGCTGACATACTGCAGCGCACAGTGAAAATCTGGGATTACACGACTAAAAGCTTGATTGCGACGCTTGAGGGCCACACGAATAATGTTTCGTTTGCGTGCTACCACCCCGAACTCCCTATCATTATCTCTGGCTCAGAAGACGTAAGTGAATCCGGGTGCCGAAAAATGCTTGTTGCTGACAGATGCAGGGCACCGTAAGGATATGGAACGCCAACACATACCGTTTCGAACAATCCCTCAACTACGGCCTGGAGAGGGCGTGGTGCGTAGCCTACCAGAAGGGGAAGCAAGGGATTGCCGTTGGTTTCGATGATGGCTCGGTTGTTATCAAGCTCGGTCGGGAAGAGCCGGCGGTATCCATGGATGGAGCGGGCAAGGTCATCTGGGCCAGGCATAATGAAATTGTGTCTGCCGTCATCAAGGGCGCCGGTAAGTTTGGCATGGCATGCCACGCAGCGAACCAGACTAATAGTTGCAGATGCGTCTGTGAAGGACAACGAGCCGATTTCCCTCCCTACCAAAGAGCTGGGAACGGCGGAGGTGTACCCACAAACCTTGCTCCACTCCCCCAACGGACGTTTCGCCGCGGTCTGCGGTGATGGCGAGTATATAATCTATACTGCGCTCGCGTGGCGAAACAAGGCCTTCGGCTCGGCGCTCGACTTTGTCTGGGCCGCCAAGGACAACTCCAACGATTTCGCTATCAGGGAATCATCAACCAGCATCAAGGTGTTCAAAAACTTCCAAGAAAAGAAGGGTGGTCTGGATGTACTGTTCGCTGCCGATGGCCTTACCGGAGGCGTTCTTCTGGGTGTGAAGGGGCAGGGTGGTATCTCGTTCTTTGACTGGCACACTGGTGGTCTTGTTCGACGGATCGAGGTTGAGCCGAAGCAGGTCTACTGGAGTGAGAGCGGGGAGCTGGTTGCTCTGGCGTGCGAGGACACCTATTATGTCTTGAGATTTTCCCGGGAAGCGTATAACGAGGCGGCACAGGCCGGACAGATCGAGGATGACGGTGTGGAGGCTGCCTTCGAGGTCAACGTCGACATCAACGAGACGTAGGTTTCCACCCATCTGGTTCTTGCCAGTGCTAACTTTCGCAGAATCCGATCCGCCGAGTGGCTGGGAGATGTCCTGATCTACACCAACAGCACCAACAGGCTCAACTATCTTGTTGGTGACCAGACCTACACGATCGCACACTTCGACAAGCCGATGTACATTCTCGGCTATCTCCAGCGGGATAGTCGGGTGTATCTGACCGACAAGGATCTGAACGTCACTTCATTCGCCCTCTCGCTGCCTGTTCTCGAGTATCAGACACTCGTCCTGCGCGGTGACATGGAGACGGCGGCTGAGCTGCTTCCCACCATTCCGCAAGACCAACTTAACAAAATCGCCCGGTTCCTCGAAGGCCAGGGGCACAAGGAACTCGCCCTGGAAGTGGCCACAGACCCTGAACACAAGTTCGATCTTGCCCTCGCGCTTAACCAACTCGACATTGCCCTCGAACTTGCGAGAGAGTCAGATGCCGACCACAAGTGGAAAACGTTGGGTGATGCGGGGCTTGCTGCGTGGGACGTTCCGCTCGCGACCGAGTGCTTCGTCAAGTCGAGAGATTTGGGCTCACTGCTTCTGATCTATAGCTCGACCTCGGACCGGGAAGGGTTGGCCAAGCTCGCGGCCCAGGCGGAAGCTGCTGGTGCACACAACGTAGCATTTAGCAGCAAGTGGTTGCTTGGGGACGTGACGGGCTGCGCCGAGATTCTCAGCAAGACTGGGCGCTTAGCCGAGGCAGTACTGTTCAGTCAGACGTACAAGCCGTCGCTGACAGCTGGGTTAGTGAGCGAGTGGAAGAGCAGTCTGGAAAAGGCGAAAAAGGGTCGGGTCGCCAAGTCAATCGGTGTGCCTGGAGAAGACGAGGAGCTATTCCCTGAGTGGGATGAGTGGCTCAAATTGGAGGAGGCCGGCGGCGTTGTAGATGCGGATGGGTCCAACGGGCATGAGGAGGAGGCCGGGGAAGAGGATGAGGAATAAGGCACGGCTCTCTCTGGTTATAGGCGCAAGCGGGAACAAGAGAAAAAGCTCCACCTGGTACCAATACTACGGTAGAGTCGGCAGATAATGATTTATGTGAAAGATTTTAAACTTTGAACTGAAGTGTTGGGGCTCACGATGTCTCGTCGAATCTGAACCCGAATTTGGCCCTCTCAAAACATGGCTTGGCGGCGCACGCGAGCCGAGAGCTTCGCGGCCGATAGCAATCCAGGCCCAGGTAAAAAGAGAAGTAAACTTGAAGTTTTGAAGAAAATGACAAAAAGTATTGGCAGCTACGGGATTCGAACCCGCGCCTCTTGCGAGAGCGCAGAGCTTGTGTAAGCCTTAAATGCGCCGCCATAGACCCCTCGGCCAAGCTGCCTTGTTGACGTCAAAATTGGTCGCTTCAGTGTGTATATGAGCCACTTCTCAGTCCTCAATGTCGCCAACCCCAAACCGAGCAATCGGAAGTCCTCGGAACGCCGGAAAGACGACAAGCCCGTCCTCCGAGACCACCCCTTCGGGTCGAGAACTAGACTTGTTACCATCAATATTTGAACAACCTCGCAAACTTCAAACTAGGTGTCAGCGCCGGCCAGTAACGGGCATATATTATTGCTCTTCATTCTTGCCTGTAATACTGACTGTACTTGTACGGAGTACAGCAAAACTCTGTGTACTTGCAAGCCACTGCAAGCTCCACTGGGGAATATTACATTCCGGCATGGCTACCCAGTGGCATGGGGCCGGTAGATAATGGTTCGAGCACCGATTCTACTCCCCTTCAACTCACAAGCGTCATATATGGATACTAGTACTCTTCGGTTTATATCTCCCCTATGACGATTATCGATGCTCGGCTGGGAGGTTGACGAGTCCGGTGATCTTCGGATCACTATCGCTAGGCGTTGTCCACGAGATGGGCAAACAGGCCAACCAGATTGCAGGATTGGCTCACGTCAGCAGTGCAGCACCCCCTGAGTCGCGCTGAACAATGGGAAGTTGTCTTGGCATCGGTCCGCTGGATCCGTGATCGCGGCACGGAGGATCCCTCCCAGGCCTGGCCTTGCAGCTCGCGGTGGAGATGAAATGAATATTGCATTGTCCTGCGCGGGCCGGGGAGATAGACATCTTTTTGTCGTGTTTTTCCTCTTTTCCCCTTCGAATTGTTTTCTCACACAAATTTACTGATCCCGAGTTCTGTTATTCATATCGAGGTCCCGAGTCGCAAAACCGTCCGCTCGCCGTTTGTCTCCGCTGCTCCTCCACTGCAAAACGCACCCCGCACGAACCACCGGCGCGGACTCGTACTAATAAAAAACCCGGGCACGAACAGACATGACGGGAGAGCCGGCGCACAAGGTCAAGTCGGCCGCCAGCGTCAGCGTGGCCGGGCACGAGATCGGCTACCCGCACGGCCACCTGGGCCACCTGAGCGAGACGGAGGCGGAAGCGCTGCGCAGCTTCAAGGTCTTCCTCGCCGAGAAGGGTTTGTATCAGGCCGGCCCGCCGCCGTCGCACGAGGACCACACGCTGCTGCGCTTCCTGCGCGCGCGCCGATGGGTCATCCAGGACGCGTACAAGCAGTTCAGCGAGACGGAGGAGTGGCGCAAGAAGAACCAGCTCGACGTGCTGTACGACACGATCGACCTCGAGGCCTACGAGCAGAGCCGGCGGCTGTATCCGCAATGGACGGGGCGGCGGGATAGGCGGTTTGTCTCTCTCTCTCCTCTCTCCGTCAATATTCATTCCTAACTACCAATTGGTATTATGTGTCATGCTAATTTGTTTCGTTGCTTAGAGGAATCCCTCTCTACCTCTTCGAGATCCGCCACCTCGACTCCAAGACGATCGCCGAGTACGAGAAGTCAGCGACAGACGCAAAAACAATCAGCAAGGCGACGCCCGACGGGTCGACGCCGCCCAAGCTGCTCCGCCTCTTCGCGCTCTACGAGAACCTCACGCGCTTCGCCCAGCCGCTGTGCACCGAGCTGCCCGACCGCGACCACGCGCGCACGACGCCCATCACGCTGAGCACCAACATCGTCGACGTCTCGGGCGTCTCGCTGCGCCAGTTCTGGAACCTCAAGTCGCACATGCAGGCGGCCTCGCAGCTGGCGACGGCGCACTACCCCGAGACGCTCGACCGCATCTTCATCATCGGCGCGCCCTACTTCTTCTCGACCGTCTGGGGCTGGATCAAGCGCTGGTTCGACCCCATCACCGTGTCCAAGATTTTTATTCTCAGCGCGCACGAGGTCAAGCCGACGCTCGAGTCGTTTATCGATCCGGCGAATATCCCGCAGCAGTACGGCGGCGGGCTCGAGTTCAAGTGGCTCGACCGGCCGAACTTGGATCCGTATATCCGCGAGCGGGCGACGTGGATGGATGGGTTTACGGATTTCCCGGAGGGGCCGGTGTACTGGGTGCCGAGCGAGGACGGGACGAAGCTCGAGTGCATCGCGGCCGGGAGTGTGAAGGGGGAGCAGCGGTGGGCCAAGGTGTGCTCGATCCCGAGGGTGTTTCAGCAAGAGAAACCGGTTGAGGTCCCGGAACCCGAAGTTAAGCAGCCGGCTGGGAAAGCGCCGATAGCGCCAGCAGCGACGGAAGAACCAAAGGAGACGAAGGAGGAGACAGCCGCCGTGCCGAACAACTCGGCGCCGGATGGGGATGTCCCCGTGATTCAGAACCTCTCCATCACAGACGACAAGGAGGCCGCGCCGATTCTGGAGAAGGTACTAGAGCAGGAAGCAAAGACGGCAACACCAGTGCAGGCGTAATCACCTGGCTTCGGACCTTTGGTTTTCTTCTCTGGAGTTGGCGAGCTTCCTTGCGCTTTGGTTTTCTCCTCTCTGCATATACCACATCTGCATACCTTGTATACAGCCTACCAGGGCATGTATTTTTTCTGAAGGACCTTTTCTGGCCATCTCTCCGTTATGATCATCCTGTCAAAGAGGAGTGGGCAGGCCAGTCAGGAGAAGGATCTGGATAATCGGTATCCGTAGACTAGAGGATACATAATTCCCAGAATTCCGAATCCCGGTTTTGACTTCCACCTACCTTTCTGTAATAAAACCGGGTACAAATTCCGGTCTACCGGAAACAGTTTCCCGTGACCGTGGAACTCATGCCAAACACCCGGTAGGTACCTCGACCCGGGCCGTCGTCAATGGAATAAGGGACAATGCCATGTTTACATTTGCGAAATGGGTATCTGTGTGTGTATGTGAGTACTGAATCAACGCCCTCAAACCACCTCGTCACTTGCTCACAACAAGTACAACAACCAAACCTCACGCAGTACTGGTCCTCCCTCGATTCCTCCTCCACTGCTCCACCCCCCTCTCCAGCTCCTCCCAGCTAAACCCGTCCTCAACAAGCCTCATAGTAACCCCCAACTTCTCCACCTCGCGATTCGGCCGCTCATCATCAAAAAACAACATCTCATGAAACGGAATCCCCGTCCGCCGCCTGAGCACCTCAAAGTGCCTCAGCTTCGTGCCCTCGTAGATCTCCAGCCCGGCGTCGAACACGTCAATCACTTTGCGTCCTTTTGTCTCTGTCGCAGGTAGTCTCAACAACTTGAGTACCTCCCGACATAAATCGCCCACGGGCGACTTGGACGCCACGCCGAGTTTGATTTGTGAGGGAGACGACGATAAAAAGTGGAGGATGTCTGGGACGTCGGGGAATAGGGAGAAGGACTCGCCTAGTCGGTCGGTTATCGTGGTGTGGTTTGTCGAGGGGGAGGCGCGGACGGGCGTCGAGATGTGGATGTCGGAGTAGAAGGGCCAGAGGGTGTAGTCTAGGTCGAGGACTATTAGGCGCGGGAGGGGGGCGCCGTCGGTGAGCCAGGTTGGTGTTTTTGTTGTTGTTGCTGGGCTCATGTCGCTTGGGGGGATGGGTGTCGAGGGGTGGCTGCTGCTGCTCGTGTTGAGCGTGTTGTTGGTTTTGGAGAGTTTTCGCGGCATTGTTGGACGGGGAGATGGGGATTGGTCGGCTTGCTCGGTTTTCTCCTTCCCGTGTGTTCGTGTGCGCGTGTGTGTGACGCGGGATGGTTGATGGTTTGCTGCTGCTGCTGCTGCTGATGCTGTGCTGTGCCGTGTCGTCGGTGCTGATGTCACTGCTGGCGACCTCGCTGACGAAGCGGAGCGGGGGCTCCATGGTGAGCTGGTGGGGCTGTTCAGTGGTCTGGGTTAGGGCTGGTCGTGGGGCCGCAGTGGCCACCGGTTCACCTTCGGTCAGCACGGTCGTGATGCCAGCCAGGTCAAGACGTCAGGATGCGTCCGTACATCCGCAAGCTGCAGCAGCGACAAAAAAAGGCGCCGAATCACGAACGGCACCGTGGCAGGTCCCGCTGCTGCTGGCCGCTGTACTGCCCCGGAGTCCGATAGCTGCCGGCTCCGCTGCGTTGCGCGCTGCATGCCCAAATATTCCAGGAAAACTCGAATGTTCCGTACAGCCTGTTCAACACCAAAAGTGGCGGAGGGGATGGGCTGATGGGCAGTGCTAAATATTACCCGAGACCCGCCATTGGGCAGACGAGTCACGTCCGGGAAGCTTGCCGTTGGTGAACTGCCGTCCCAATTCGTTTTGATTTACCGTTTCTATCTTGTACGGGCTACACGACCCGCTGCAGCGGTCCTGCTCCCGCAGAGCAGCATTCCCCCACCGTCGGTCCCCGCGCCGCTGCACCCCCGGGACTGGCTGACAGCCTAACAGCGAACCCCTCATGAAAGTAACCCCCCCTGCGGATATTGAGACGGACGCCAGATAAATCTCCCGGCCGCCCGCCACGGGTTTGGCTGGGCAGTCTGACCTAAAAGACGACGATCGAGCTTACGGCGTTGATCTTTCTCTCCTTCCCCGTGTTTGTGTGTCATTGCTGTGGACCCTATCTGTCCGGCCATATATCCATGTTGTTCTTGTTTCTCAGCTGCTGTACACCCCGAGCGAACTCCTTATAACCCCGCATAATTCGTACCATACCATACCATCGATACCCACCAGAAGAAGTAGAACAACGAGAAAAAATGGCCGTCGACAACAAGATCAAGCTGACGCGCATCGCGCACGTCTACTACAAGCACAAGGACATCGAAAAGGCCAAGCAGTTTATGCTCGACTTTGGCTTCATCGAGGCGTCCGCCGAGGGTAAAACGACCTACTTCCGCGGCTACGGCACCGAGCCCTTCGTCATCGCCCTCGAAGCTTCGGACGTGACCGAGTTCGGTGGCGCCGCGTTCGCCGTCGAGTCTCGCGAGGAACTAGACCGTGCCGTCCAGGTGCTGCCCAAGGAGGCCCGGTGCACGCCGGTCTATGATCTGAAAACGCCCGGCGGCGGTGTGGCCGTGACGTTTTATGACATCGTCGACGGCT